TAATGCCCTTCTGGCTCTCAGTAGACTAATACTAAGCTTGATAAATATCAATTAAAGCTTAATATCTAACATAATTATGAATATGCATTTAGATGGACGGTCCAATTTACAATGGGATTGGATGGATAAGTATGGATTAGTAAGGATAAGCATAGAACTGCTTCAAAGTAATCCCTCAACCCAAATCAACAAGTTTGGAATATGCGATCTTATTTACTTGCAGAAAATCAAAAATACCTATCATTCCCTACAGGCCTTGCCAATTAAGGAACGAGCCTTAAGAGATCCTTCACTGAAAATAAGCCTTCACTAAGGAAAGATTAACTGTGCCAATCACTGCCTAATTTGATGCAAAATTGAGAGTTAAATGAAGTCCTAGAAAGTAGCAATTCAGATCATCTTATTGCTCCATCATTACCGCAGGGCTTGAAGTTTCTACAATCACAGCAGATATCTTTTCCGTCTTCGGGCGAATGCATTGTTAGAAGGGATTTTTTTGTGAGCGTTCCTCTGTGGATTTCAAAAGCCATTTCTTTTCTTTCTTGGCAGCTTTTAAAGGAGTTGCAGTGGAAACATTAAAGGGAGTTCTTTATGTTGAATAGACTGGGAAAATGGCTGGAATCTTTGTTATGTTTCCTGCCCAGGCTGTACTAGAATGAACAGCTCTCTGGATATGTTTACAGGGTAAGTGTAAAATCAAAAGGCAAGCTTGTTGACACACAGCGTTGCAATAATCAAGGGAGAAGCCAGCAGCAAACATAGTACATTCAGCTGTATCCCTATGATGGAATTTCAACACAAACTGGAAGGAAAAGTGGGGTACAAAAATGATGAATACCCCTACTCAACCCCTCTGCACTTGCCTATTTCTGGTGATGTCATTCTCCTTACATCTTTCTCTTCCTTACTTTTAATTCTCTTCCTTGTATTGGGGGGGGGGGGTAGGACTACTCAATATGTTTGCCCATTAATGAAGGATAATTAGCAGATAGTCGTTTTGAAATAGATGTTCTTCCTTTTATAAAGCTCCATTTCTTGTTTCCTAAACCATCAAACCCTGCATGTTATGACAAATAACTATCATTTAATTCTTCTCTATATGCGGTGTTCACAGCATCCTCCTTCCCCCTCCCTTCTCAGTCTCCGGGCCTCCTTTTATCCCCCCTTCTCTCAAACACACTTTCCCTTTCACCACGTTTGCCTACTCATATTTTCCATCTCTCTTTCTTTCTCCATCATCTCTCAAAATCTCAGTTATTCAAAGCTTCCTAGCCTGTTGGGCCCACCCACTGATTTTTCTGATTTGCTCCATCATGTCCAATTTGCCAGAAAAATGACTCAAATTTCGGGGTCAAAGGAGGTAATTTGGGGGCAATTTTCTCTGCAGTTTATTCCACACCAATCACCTCATTTCCCATTTCTTATTTTGCCAGAATTCTCTTTCTACAGTTTTCCCCAAACTATTGCCCTCTGTGATCTACTACTCTACCTAAATGTTAGATATATTCACCCAACATCTGCAGACAATCATGGACATTCAAAGTTGATAATAAAGAAGTTTTACAAGCCAATTACGACTCAAATCATTCTCATACTTCACTTAATGGCTAGTCATAAACAGGTTTTTATGGATGTGATTACAAAAATGGATTTGAAAGATTGGACTGGTATGAAATTCTTTCTCTAAAATGTCATAAAAAGAAAAGTGCAAGTTTCAGTTGAGAATCAAAGGCCAATTTTGGAAAATTCATTCGTTATTGATTTAAGCATAACAGTTTTAACCAGAATCATATACAAGCCTTTAACTATGAATTACTGTAATTTTTGAAAATGTAATGGAAAGACCACCTTTAACATATCCAAACAATTACATTGTCATCACCACCTTGGCTTATCATCAACCACACAGAAGGGCGTTAACCCTTTCAAGTCAGGAATTGTTTTTAGGGCTAAATTGATCACATACTGTTCGTCAATTTGGCAACAGTAATTTTTTTCTTTTAGTGCTACATAGTTAAAACAATATATATGCAATGTCTCTGAAAATAAGAATGCTGTCAAAAATTAAACAAAAAATGGCAAATTTTGGTAGAAAAACAATGATTTTGAATATCTCAACATGTTGCCAATTGGGGATTTTAAAGCTTTCTGGCATCTCACGTAATTTAGTCATAAAATAAATATTGATAGTGTGTGGAGAAATTTTTCCAATTTTTACTAATGCATACAGCACATTATAGGGCTCTGAATCAAACAATTACAATGCCACACCAAAAAATGTGGAATGATAGTTGCAAAGGGGTTATTACATCTATGAGTCAATGCCCTTCTTGCTCTTAGCCGATGAAATATGACTCATCCATCACAAGATCAACATCTTTACATCATCATGATCTGGAAAAGTAGAGAAACATAACAGAAATTTAACTATAATTCTGTAAATATTATGACCATCAGAGTGACAAAGAATGACCACAGCTGCCCACCTTGCCATCAAGATAGTTCAGAAAGCATCAATACCCGAGAAAGGATACCTGCAAAATCGTCAGGAAAATCCTTGAAAAGCCATCTCTTCCATTACTTTACTGAAAGAGAAGCGGGATGACAATCCTCCCGTTTCCTTGGCAACGCCTTGCTGATGCACTCTTTGGTTTGTCCTCCTTGTGGTGTGGCTGATAGATGCCTTATCTCCTGGAGCAAGCAAGCAACCAGGCATTCTGACAAGATAATGCAGCCCTAATCTTCCTTGAAGCACTCACAGAGTCCCTGGCCTTGCCTTGGAAGCCTATGATGATCATGAAGATGGGATTGCCCTGACTGGAGTGCTATCCCCATCGCTGACTTTCTTCACGTCCTCTTCACCGGCTTACTTTACGGTAACGGAAACATCTTTATCTCCCTCACCAATCTTCCATTTGCGGTGTTTTTTCCCTTCCGCGTCCTCGTTTCAAATGCCTTCCAGGAAGATCGAGATGCGAGCTAGCTTTGCTGGCTGCCGAGGAGGTAAACTATCATCCTACATCATCAGTCAAATCACTAGCAGCTTCGCGTTACTTCATTTTTGTCATAATCACCTCAAGCATCTTAGCTCCCAATAATGCCCTATTCCTTACAGAAATGAGAAATGGCAAGTGACAAATTTTGAATACACAAATGGCATTAGTGCGCTCTTGGAGGCTTCATGTGTCAACTTGTCCATTTTACTAATGCATTTTTTCCCCCTCTCAACCTTTTCCCAACTAGCTCTTAATATTGTGCAAAGAAATTTACCCTAATTTTTTTTTTCTTCAAATAAAACGATTGATCACTATTTTCTCTTTTGCCTACCAAATCCTTGTATCATTTTATCTAAAAAATCTGTCACCGCATGACATTATTTAATTTTCTTCCTCGTTCCTTTGGTTCAATTTTACCTTCCCCCTATTCAATCCCATTTCTTTTACTCCTCCTCAATCCATTAACCCCATCTTTTTTGTTCTTTCTTCAAATTTGTCACCTCTAGTTAACATTTTCCTCTCTACTACCATTATTACCACTGCCCACCCTTCTTCTGTCATATCATCTTGTCCCTTGACCCCCCCCCCCCCTTGCCATTGAGCACAGTTAGGTTGGTGTCATGAGAGTAACGCTGCTAGGCCCAACAGAGGCCTTATCACATCAGATCGATGCGTCTCGCTAGATATTAATCTAAGTGTATCTTACTATTCCTCTCATTTCACCTCGATCCCTGTTGCCATTTTGAGGATTACAATCTCAAGCCGATGCTGCGGAGTGACGTCTCCGTGGCTACCAACACCCCCTAGGCTTCTGCATTATGCCTTATCTTGCGACCATCTTCCATCATTTTCTCAGCGGGCTAAAAAGTATCTCCTTCCATTTTTCATTCACTCCGCACTCTGGGGGAGCCGGGCATAAATTGTCACATTATGAATTCATCATGGCGGCCAACAATCATCAGAGAGCGTCTGCTCAAGCTAATGCTAACACACTCCCATCCATCCACACACTCTACATGTTGCTTCTAACAATCCTCATCTTAAGATGTCTGACTATACAACAAGACCCTGAAGTGCTCCGTTATGATTGATAACAAGAGTAATACAAAACCATTTATTTCTAAATCATAGAATAAAAGAAATAAATCATTTGAAGAGCAATTATCACCTTAATGAAATGGTCTCGATTTTCATTACCACCTCCAACCTGAAGTACTTTTAATTTTGGTTGAAGTAGGGAGAAGTTGCTGACAAATGACTCTATTACAGTATAATTCATCATAATGCATCGCAACCATTCACACACCATCCATCTTATCACCTACTGTTAAAGAGCACTTCATCATAATTGATGTTGTTTTATCCATAAAGAGTGTCGCATAGAATTACAAATTGCCAATTGAAAGATGAAATGCAATCATTATTCACTCAGGCCACTTTCATTTCCTAAAAATACAATCTGCTTTGTTTCTCATACACCACTCAATACTTGGCCATCATTACTAGTATCGTTCATCCCTTTTTAAATATAATACTGAGCACTGGTCAAGAAATAGATTATTGGGGGGGGGGGATCTTTCAGTTATTCTGTGTGGTTGGATTATGAAGTATATGAAAACAAAGTGTGTATGATGAAGTTTGAAATTACTATTATATAACTAAACTGACTAGAATCACACACAATGAGAACACTTCACACAGACTTGGGTACACTGGACTAAAGAAACGTATAGCACCAGGATATGGTCCAACGTTGCTATTTTTTAGTTGTATAAGAAGAAATATAGAGGATTTGAAGAGTTCTCCTTGTTATGGGACATTGTTTCTATAATATATTGTGTCCTAATGGGTGTGAAACTGTGAACACAATGAGAAAGCTTACAAGATACTTTTCATCTTTAACAGAACTCAGCCTCTTTAGAATGGAAGATGAAGGGTGAACAAAACTATAGGTAACCCGAGAGCAGGCCATGAGAAGAAAAATTAAAAAGAAGACGGACTTACTTCTGTTTATTGCATTAGCCGTTGTGAACAGATCGGATCCAGTTTCAGAAGCCTGTAGTCAAAAATAAAAATTGAGAACATTATAAAAAATAAAAAAATGAGAACAATATATTAGTCATCTTGGAATAACTGAAGCAATCTTATTTCAAGCAGAAAATTCTGAATTCTTTCAATAAGTTTAGTAATGACTAATGACACATTTCATACCTCCACACATACATACACACACCATACATGTTGGTATTTCAACTTATGTTTCACTATTCACCCAGGAGTATAAGGAAATGCACACCTGGGGCCCGTTTCACAAAACTTATTATCTATACCAAATGCTAGATTTCTATGACAAATTTGCTCTTAGCCAATCAGATGCCATGATTTCAGTAGCTTGTAACAGTAGCTTGTAACTTGTTATTGATATCAAGTTTTGTGAAACACCACCCAGATATCCTCACATGTACAGGTTTGGTCACACACAATTGGTCGACGTTATCATGAACTGACAAACCCATAGTGTAATATATATATGGATTCGTCAGTTCAGCAATGAATTGCCCAAAATGAATTTGTTTGTCTTCAATGCTGATTGAATTACATGTAGCTAGTTCAATGTGGTTTTCATCTGGTTTACATTTTCATAAACTATGAAAGACAAATGTTTGTTCAGCAGCAACATACACAGTAATCAAATACATAAACATCCATTCATTTAAACCAGATTCATGCTCAATAACGGTGAATAACAATGGTACTTCTTATTTCTGAATATAAAAGAAACATTCTGAATCTGAATCTGAATGTGATCCCCCCTCCCCCCCCCCAAAAAAAAAAAAAATCTTGCTTCCAATCAGATGAGGAATTGAATGAACCGATTTCTTGTCACAGACTACAACCTTGAAGGTATGGAAACTCTTTGTCCATCTTCAATAGGAAATAACTATGATGGATTGTCAGATGGTCGAGTATTAGATGACAGGAAATACACAAAATAAGGTCTTTCTTCTTATTTTCTTTCATCTCCAAAGGAAAGTGTATGAGTTTCGTGTAAGAGGATGAGCAAAAGTGCATAAACCCCTAACATTGGTGATGTAGAGTCCGGTCACCAAGTTTGCCAATAACTATCTTTCAAGTGGGGAAAAAACCAGGTTTTTGTTTGCCGATTTTGACAGAGCGTCCATCACGGGTGATCAAGTTTCAGCCATCTTAGAGATCTCTGCAAACTTGGCAGGAATAACAATTTTTCATCATTTCCAGTTTGCTTGGTCTGCCGGTGGGTGGAGTTGACCTACTGTCATAATTGATGATGTTAATCTCCCTGAGTCAAGATGACTAATATAGGAAAACATGGAAGTTGGTAACAATCCAGGAATTATAACAACATATGATCATAGTCCTCAAAATGGCAACAATGTCCGCACAGCTAAAATTTTCAGATATCTTACTATTTGTGTAATCCTACCGGGACATGCTCATGAAGGAAAAATGTAAATTACATTACTTTATAGGAAAGATCATAGACCTACCACCAGAAAGATAACTACCTTTAGCCAATATGCACTAATACAAATCATCTCAATGTCATATGTGACAAATGAGGGAAGAAAAAGCAAACAAACATTGTTGTAATTCCTCAGTCTGGTTTGAAGGCATCCGCAGGGAGAGGGCAGAGAAAGCCAGAGACATGTCATTTGTTCACTTTGTTGAAATTGGATCACGATTATAGGTATTAACCACTATTGACAATCGGAATCTCTGTTCTTCAGCCAACTTCTAGGGGGAATTACGCGAGCACGCTGCTGTAGGTGATTTTCGCGCACAGTTGTCCGTCTGTCCCCCCTTGCGAAAGAAACAAGCCCCGCTCATGCCAATGGCAAGACAAATAAACTTGCTGGGATGAACACTCAGGCAACGCTACCATATTCTCTATCATCAGACAACTTGGACACCGAGACACATTCAAAAGGGTATCACAAACTACTTCAATTACTCATTTTCTCTGTTGGAGAAGAGACGCTACCATTCAGTAAACTCGTCGGAATGATGAGTATGAGGATTAGTTAAAGAAGAGAAATAGGCTTACTTGTCAGCGGCCCAGGATAGAAAGGGTTTGGGTCGGTGAAACTAGTCACTGCTACGTCTGGAGCTAGGGTTCGTATCAAGGTAATTCAGTTTGTCAGATAGCCAAGTCTGGGCAATTGGGATTTATTACGAATCAAATTGAATTAAAGACCCTTCTAAATCAAAACTGCAGATAGGGTGGCTAGGAGGTATTTATTACGCTGTATAGGACGCTGTATAGGACATGTCTCTCCTCATTATGGAGTAATGAATGAGTAGGAGGGAAAACAGGGGCACACTAAATCTCTTTCATTAACGAGGGGGTAAACAGACTTAACATGGAGTGAGGGACACAACAAAGAGTGCAATGAAGAGGGTTGCAGAGGAAGACAAACTCATAAATGGAAAAACAAATTGTACATTTTGGCAGAGAATTTTGCAGGGTCCTTTAAAGGTCAAATCATATGTAGATGATGACAGAACATGGGACATACCATAATACATTTGAAGACTGGATACACAAATAAAAGGTGTTTTAAGAAAAGGTGATATTTAATAGACGAGAACTGCAGTGAAGTAGAAGCATTGGTTGTATAGACACGGGAGGAAACTAAAACAGTTTGGGTTTGTCCATAAATCAAATCGAAAACGAAAGTGAGCCTACTTATGATCAAGCCTGATCATCTAAATTATCAAGGCTTCTCCAGTGCATATTTGCATATCAAAAGATAAGTTTGAACCCACTTGAATTCAAGGATTCAAGTCTAAGTTGCGGTATTTGCTTGCGACCACTCATGGCTGCTAATGTTACATTGGTCTACGAATAATGGCCATAATTACCAAATTAGTGTTTGAAATACGCCAACGCCCTATTAATTCCATGATTACTTCACCACCACGTCATCCCCTTTTCACATGACTTCATACTGCCAAGGTTAGCCATTGTTCATCTAAAGGTGAATGCACTTTACCATCACTTTGGGATAATGAACTAATATATCAACACAAATCTGATGTAATCTCCTTTGATGTCAATAAATAATGTGCTCTAATTGGGAAGCCAAGGTTTTAATTAGAAATACATACTCCTGTCAGGCGTTATCCATTGATTGACTGTTACAATCGATGGCACGGTAGAAGTACCTGTACTATTGTTCCGAGAGTGACAAGAGAAGAGAGAGATAGAGCTGATATCAGGTCACCATACACCTTCAGCAAAGACAGACTGGAAGGCAAAGAAAGAAAGACAACGGAAATGGAGTTGGCGTGCTTGTCTCCACACCTGAACAAGGCTTTTCTGCCTGGCACGGCCGAAGCTCCCAAACAAATATACTCTCCCCACTTGGCTTGTTTGCACATCGCACTCGCCAGGCAAAACAAATCTTCACTCACTTGACAGACTTGAGGCACAGAACAATCTTCATCTCTTTATTCCGGGCGGATTGAAAGAGAGAGAGAGAGAGAGAAGGGAAGAGAAGGGGAGGTATAAAATGATTGCAACTGATACCATTCCTTGAATACCCCTGTCTAAATTTTCATTTCTTCCTCTCTTTGCTTTGCTTTCTTGCCTCTCTGTTTGCCCGACGGACGCAACGCCCCGAACGAACGCTGGATGGTCACGTCAGAAGTTAAGGTTTTATATTTATAGAGCGCCATATTACCCCTGCATGCGGTAATATAATCCAATTCAATAAAATTGGAAACATATTGGCAGTCCAGAGATATGAGATTGCGGGTATCCCACCTAATGGCAGGTCCGCATTACTTGAGGGGATAACACCACGGCCGACTTGATTTGAAAAATGTAAGGGCAAACACGAAAGCGGGTCTTTCGCAAATCTTATCCAGACGAATATCAACTCCTCGAATGGCCAGTAAGTCAAGTTTCTTTGGGTCTCCATCCCACCTGATCAGATCCTGGTATTTCTGATTTAATACTGCCGAAAGAAAACTTATTGTCACATCAAATAGAGCCCCTACTCTAGAATAAATACCACAAATTCAATCAGAGATGTCAAGAGACATTTGCTTCAATTCCAATCGCTGCCAAATTCCGACACCAATTTCGAGACAGAAGTCGTCAATGCTATTGTAACGGGTAATATCCCTCCCTCTATTGGAAGGTGAAAAGTAATACTCTCGCCGTTAGATTTTTTTCTCTTGTTCTCTCTCTTTCGACAATTTGCTGGATTTCCATCGGGCAAAATGTGTTTATTTGGGCGATATTGGGGAAGATTGGATTCTGAAGTTCATAGCTCTCTTCAAAGATTTCACCCGAAATTGAAGTTTATTGTCTGTGAGAAATGTTGAGGATATTACATTGCAAGACGGTGAGAAAGAAATATCAGTTTAACTCACGCCCCTGATAGAAAATTGATGGACACAGCGAGAAATGGAAATGGAGATGGAGTGCATGAGAAACTATTTGCAGACTCACTTTCTATATGGATGAATTTGGAATTGAACATTCTTTGTGACACTTTCCAGAAATCAATTTAAGTGCATTTGCTTGGGGAGGGGTGCTTGGGGAGAAGGAGGAGAGAACATTGCTCAACATTTTCAGCAAAAAGATTTCAACGGAATGTGGGATTCCTCTTGTATCAAAATTGCGGGAAATAAAAAGTACAAGTGGGAAAAGTGAAACATAGTTGAAGTACCAGGAGTTCAAGTTGAAGGACTAAAAGTAGAAAGGGAAGAAGGATTTTAAATTGAAGTGGTTTAAAGGAAGTACTTCAAATGAATAGACACAGAAGTGATTACTGTGGAATAAAGGTTTTAAATTAAAATCAAGGTAAAAACAAAGGGAGTTACAAGGTTTCATTATCACATTATGCTTTCTTCATTACACTGTCACTGCTGTACAAAGTTTGAATCCTCTTTTATTTAAAGGAAAGAGTTTTTTTCCTTTAAATTCAAAAGAATTTCATTATTGGTGCAGTCAGATATCATGGAGGGTTCTGCAAAATTGTGCTACAAAATGTGATTTCTGATACATTTACAACTTGCCGCATCAGATGCATCAGACGCATTAAAACATGTCAGACAAAGCATGCCAATTAGAATATATACAACAATGCACAAGTTCATATATCATAAAAATTGTTAAGCCCAAAATGCTATTCAATGTGGTTATCTCGGCCAAATACTGCAACGCTATCCTGCTCATAACTCAACCAACTAAACAAGCACACCAGATTGTAAAGGGTTGTAAAATGTAATACTATCACGAAATGTGGCGAGAGATTTGACAGGCATAATTCAAGCTGCCAAGTAGTTAGAGAGAGAGAGAAAGAAAGAAAGAAAGAAAGAAAGAAGAAAAAAAAGAGGGAGAGTGAGATGAAAGCAGCGATGATGGGTAAGAAGATCACTTGCAGGTCCGGGTATTATGTCGGACTGTTTATCCTGGTTCAAGATGTGGCATTCAAGTAATTAAGATATGGGTCAGCCGGGTCCATGCGAGGAGAGAGAGAGGGGAGACCTGAGGAAAGATCCGTCGCACGCCTGACGATGATGATGATGGTGGACGGTGCACGTGGGCTATGGCTGATGAATGTTGGTCATAAATCAAAAACGCATTAGTACGTCTAACCAAAACACAAATGATCATACTGGGATGCTAGCCGATGTAAATTAGATTTTAAAGTACTGTGTCAACACCACTATCCCGGTGGAGGTAGTCTTCATTAGATCCAAGGATTTGTGGAAGTGAGGGGAGAGGGGAGGGGGGGGGGGGGGTGTCCTTCTTTGGAAAGACAGAGGATGTATGCATGAGAGCAATGCAAAATAATGCTGAATGTAACACTGCTAATGGAGTAGGGCGAGATGAAGATGAGATGGTGATGAAAAAGATGATGATGAAGATGATGATGGCGATGGTGATTACCGGTATGCTAACAATATGGAGCAAGGCATGGTTCATCGCCATAGATACGGAGTACATCCCAACACCCCTACTCCACATTCGTGTGAGACTGATTAGCCCACCCGACATCTGGCTGACGATTTTGACGCCCTACTGCACCATCTCCCACAAACTGTGAGTGAATTCAACAACGAGGGGGCCCTCTGATCACGCACGAGAGGTTCCTCGCACAAGTTCATCCCGCGCTTCTCGATTGATCACCGGATGCAGGATTGCATTCTCCCTCCTGACACTAATAATCCACGGCTACGCAACATTTGCCCCAGAATGGATGATGAGACTGAGAAATGTGGCAGACGCGGAGACGAGAATACTTTGCGGGGCTGAATCACGGAAAGGGGTCTCTTGTGTCCGTTCTTAGGCTCTCGTCTGTTGCCGTGATTAATGAGCCCTGGCATGAGAGCAGTACTTAACTTCTCAATAATCAAGCGTAACTAACACTTGTAGGTGCATGCCAGTCTCTCCGGGGAGAGTGCATTATGTAGCCTTTTTTAAGGGGGGGGGGGGGGTCATAACTCTTTCTATTTGCACACCTCTCCTCTCGCTACTTATGGGGCCTCCCAATTGCGCTCTCCATTGTGGCACTTTTATCCTTGAAACACTCAAAGTATAATTAGCATCAGCAATTAGGTAGGCACTAGACGTTGCAATAGCCAGCATATGGTGCAATTAATGGGTCACATTTGGGTGGATATTCTCATAGCATGGCATGCTCATGTATAGGAATAAAAAACTGGTGTTTATAACAAAGAGATTGAAGAATTTAGAACTGATTTTCCTTCAGATGACCTCCCCACCCCCCTGGGAAATCAAGTACAGAAGTATGGGAGGTGGATATGTTTGAGAATAGAAAGAAAAAACAACAGCCATGTAGTATCCATCCAATTTTTAATTTCCGTTCTACCAATGTGAAGCCAAAAATAATAAAAACATCCTGATTTCAAATTCAATACAACAAATTGAAGCGGGCTCATGGTATAATCCCCGTGCTTTCTCTCTGTGAATCAAGACCAATCTATTCCAAATAAAATGCAATCCAAAGAAATAAACTCTTGTATGCATATATTCCTTTTACTCTAGTCCCATGCATAGACTTAAATGTCAAGTATGGTAGTGAAATACAGCAAGGGGATGTCATTAGGCTACCTACTCTAAAACCACACTTATCCAGCCGGATTAAATACAAAGTCCCACAAAGAGTTAGCGTGCACTTACGGGCTAACTGAATTGATCTGTCCTTATTTTGCCTTCTCATGAATCCTTGCCGCCGACTCATCAAAATACGTCTTCAATTTTAAACATGGCTAGGGAGAGGAAGAAGTGGAGGGGGGGGGGGGGGGGGGTGGTAGCATTCTGAAGTGCATGTAGATGGTATACCAATAAGAGGACTTTCTCTATAGAAATTTTGTTTCAAATTTGATATCATATCTAAATCAAACCTTGATATTTTCTATGATTTTTATTGATAAACACAAACTGATTGACCCTTCTTTTCCCTAAACTGTTGTAATTTAATTGCACAATTAAAAATTTCAGAGGTATCATCATATTACTTCATTTTCAGGAAAGGTGAATGTACTGATGTATAAAGACAAAAACAAAACAATCTTTTTTTTAGGGGGGGGGATTTGTTACAAATTTTATCTTCTTGTCAACAAAGGTCAACAAAGGTCAACAAAGTGACTCACTAAAAATCAATAAGGCATAAGAGTACACTACAGGCAAGAGAAATATCATCTTGAGCAATAACAAAAATGCCAACACATATTTTGTTTCTGTGCAAAAAAGAATCTTTTCATATGAAGCCTGAGATAATTAAAGTGGGAAATACCTAAATACAGCTTCAGTATCTTGTGAAAGGACAATTAATCATTGGGACAGCAGCTTTTTTCCTGATGTGAACGCTTCCGGCACTGTTCCAGCAGTAGACTAAACAGAGAGCCTTGTTAATACAGTAGGATTACAGATCTGGGAATATAGAGGAAAGATGAGCTTCTACAGGTGCACTCGTAATGGGGTCCATGAAATACCTGACCAGTATATGCCTATAGATGGCCGCGAACTGGGTCATATTGTAAACCTACATGTATGAATGTACTCGCAAATGTGTGGGCTGTTTGGTTAAGCGTTGATTCCTCTCTCATTATTGTGCATATTCTCATTATTTCTCCTCCTATTTTTGTAGCCTCCTCGTATAAACCACTGCTACTGCTACTAATTCTACTTCTACTATGTCTATGATGGTGACTACCATAACTATGAATACTGTTACTAACCCTTAATCCTGCTGCCGATGCTGCTACTGGCATTGCTATACCACTGTTAGTAGAATAGATACTGCTACTACTAATTAGTACTTCTACTCCTGCTATTATTCTTGTAACAGCATTCTACTCCAATAATCAGGGAATAATTTTCCTGGTATCGCATCGCAATTTGCTATGCATTTTTGCATGACTGCTATACATAATATCTTTTGTGTAGCAGTTTTCTTCCATAGAAATGTACAGAATTTCACTTGAAATATTTATCCATCAGCTGAAATTGCTAATCAAAAAATTTGAGGAAAATTATTCCCTGAATAATGATGATGATTTACAAACAATGATTTAAGGATGAAATAGTTACTGAGAGGTTGATAATAAGGCCTACTTCTAAAAACAAATCATGAACAACACAATATCCCCCAACACAATATATATATATGAACAAATACTCAATATTCACTGTATCCGTGAGACTGCTTTCAAATCCTTTCTCCTTCAAGAGATTGCACAAAGTGAAACCAGGAACACAAAAGAAAAGCCTTACAAAGCCTCACATTGCCCTACATCAATCAGCTTTGTGAAGTACTATGATGTTTGATAATTTCCTATCAAAACCTACACATACAAAGCATTCTCAGATACACTCATAATACAGGCTTCTGCTGTTAATACATATACGCTGATAGAATGTTAACTGCAAGGTAGTTTGTTTGGTGAAAAGTTCATATTTTTAAGCTCTTTAAGAACACAAGTTTGAATGCCATGTTGTTGATCAGATTATTGCCTGCTGTAAGCTACTACCGCTTGACTTTAAGTCCCACGTTATTTTTTAATTCCAAATTAACAATGAGAGCAAAATCCACTCAAATCTCCCACATACAGAGCCAATATCCATCAATGATCATCAGCATTAAAGAAATAATTAATCAGTTCAACATGAGCAGAGAACAATCAGACGAAAGATGATGAAAGCAAACGTACTTTACCAATAATAGTTCTTGGTTGACTGGCTTAAACCGGGTATGAGCGCATCACAGAATGTATAGATAGAATAATCCTGCTTGTATTGAAGGGTTATAATCCTGTTAGTATTCACTGAGTACGATCCAATGATTACAGAAAGTAAACACCAGAAGAATTACATCCAACAAAATGCACTAATAGTACTGATCCTGGTATATGGTATTTATAAGCACAGTCCTGAATTGTACTCGTCAATATGAACACTGGCTGAACCTATAATCCCAGGCTAGCGCTAGCGCACACAGCACAGTTAGGAAGATCTTCCATGTACACAATCAATGAAACAGTATCCTTGATTAGAAAAAGTCAATCTATTAGCAGATTACAATATTTCCAAATTCAGAGTGAACAGTTTCACACAATGAAGGAGAAAGTGACTGAGTGGCTGGCTTGAATAAAATATGGCTACTCGTTTGTTGTCGACAGTTATGGTACTGAGTATAGAGCAGGCATCACACAGCTCAGCTCGTGCATGTGCTCCTGTGGGGAGCGACCGGGTAGAGTGATGTGTGTGGCTTGGCTAACCTGAAACCTGCAGGCAAGCAAGCTGCTTCACTCTCTCTCTCTCTCTCTCTCTGTCTCTCCAGCTCTCTTTACAATGACTGCTGAGTGATGGCAATGCCGGTTCCAATGCTACACTGCCATCACCTCACAACAATAAATGTCACACGTTGTTGTCGGTATCAAGCAGCCTCTCACAGCAAGCTGCTGATGACAATGAGAATGGCTATGACAATGATGGTGGAGAGGTTATGAGGCTATGGCTGGCTAGCTGGCTGGCAGGCCGGCGGGAGGCATGCTGAGGGGGTGTCCTAGCTATCCAGTAGCAGCTTGCTCGTCACAAGACTGGTCTTTGGATAGCTCTCTAGCTAGAAGGCTGGCTGGCTTGCTGGCTTGCTGGGTGGGTGGCTGGTCAGGGGCACGCAGGCAGGCCCTGCTAACTAACGTATACGTGTGCAATGAACAGTCAACGAGTGCTGGCTGTATTGTTAACGCCGGCTGAGCTGCAAGTGAGTGAGGATAGAAGCAGGGAGACTGCATGCGTGCGTGTGTGCTTACACAGACACACTTCAGAAAGGAGGTATTGAATGTGTGTGAAGGGGCTGATGTACTGGTCGGGAGAGAAAGAGGAGGAGAAGGCGAAAGAGAAAGAGAGCGCGCACAAGAGTAAAACCCCCCGGGGAGGAAACAAAACCCCGGCCAGTAATTCGATTGGGACTGCCGACGTGAAAATGCCGGAGAGAGTCTTGGGCATAATATCACACGGCTTTGGTTGTGGCTCTCCAAAGGTACTTAGGCACAAAGATGGGGTTTTTATTCCAGTGGCTATCCTTTCTGCTAGAAACACATGGCAGGGATGAGGAGGCGAGCAAGAGGCTTAAAGTGCGAATAACCTGCTGCGAGGATCAATGGACGCAATGCGCCTGCCGACAGCCGCACCACCAGATCCATCCCGCCCGCACGATGGCTGAAACCACAGGCTCCCCTCTCCCTATGCTCCACTTAATACATCCCCTCTTCCACTCTACGTCTTGATTCCTTCCTTCTGAACGGATTAATCGTGTCAACACCCACTGAATGGAAATGACTTGGGGCATTATTTTTTCATTGCCTAATCATCAGACTCCATTTGATTGCGGCCCATAAAATAAACAAACTCTGGGGCAATAGGGGCGAGCGAGAGACTGGCTGCTGCTGCTCAAACTGACGGCAACAAGACGAGTTAGGCGCTGTGGGTCGAAACAAGGACATTGGTCCCTAAAGTACTCCCGCTTATTCAAAGCAAAAGAAACATCATCAACAGACTCACCCGGTTTTTACCCTCCAGTGCAATAGGCTTTTTCCCCCCTTTTCTCTTTTATTTAAGCTGCGCCGGACTCATAACCAAATCATAGTCAGTCAATTATCAATACAATTCCTGCCTGACACATTTGGCATTTTTCACGCTGAATTAGTCCCGACAGGGGCACCCTGCAATAACAACACTGCCCCCACGCTCTCCTTGTTTAGACAGAGCTCTGGTTTGCTACATGGCAAATTACATTTGAGTGCGCGCTAGACTGGTTCCGATTATGACCCCGAGCGATAGCCGGCTTGCGAATCATCGCAACATATCCCTCCCTAACGGGCACGCCGAGGCAAAACATAACTCAAGAGACGAAATACACAACAAACACATACTGAATATAAGGGGTAAGGGGCTAACCGTTTTGATGAAACCACTCTGCAGATGTATAGAGCGAAAAGGAAACAACACCAGAGGCATTCCTCATAGACAGAAATCCATAAAACCGTACCTCTCGACCCGAGGATTGTAATTGCATTTTGCATGCATTACGGTTGGGGAGATGCAATTGGCTGCAGGGGGAAAGAGCCTAATTTCACATCATTTCAAAGCCAACATGGGAATTCTCTTACCAATTACACATCGTCGCCGAGAACAAATAATACTATAACAGGGACAGGAAGACGAAAGGCAATTCACATCATTTATTTTCTGCCTGGCTGCTCTTCTCTCTCTCTCTCTCTCACTGTCACTTCGGTTTGACAATCCTTTCTTTTTCCCTCCTTTTCTTCCCTAGATAGCAGTTATTATAGATGTTGCGTGCTTGTAAGAATGCATTACACAAACAAACTCTATCTCCCAGGATAGATCAAATGGGATTTAGCCTACTAACTCCCACTCTCAAATTGTACCGTTTTTAATGAGTATTATTCATTGAGCCCATTTACATGAAGCTACCACCATACTGTTAGTAATTCATGGTACAGGGGATTCATTAGGGCTAATTACATGACACACAATATTACAAATGCCCTTTAGATAAAAATTAATGGGGCATCCATAACACGTCGTGAAATGTCAGAATGTAATAAAACATAACCAGAATGTAATATATATCACAAAGAGCAGTTCTCACATAGTAGCACATGCTGAACAATAGGCTTCCGGCTCGTTGATTTTCTATAAAGGTAGAGAATCCCCTTCAAAAACATGTCTGGGTTCTCTTTGTGTTATACCGTCATGAGATCTTACTGGTAGAATTCAAGAACTACTTTCTGAGAAAACAGTCTAAGTAACGTCTGTAAATTTTGTAATTGAGAGAATGTTTCTATTACTGTGTGTAATGGTTTTGATAAACTTATGATAAAGCACATTGAAAACCAATCATTCCATTTAACATGATTAAGCAATTAAGTAATGATGAAAAATGGTAGATGTACATGCTAATTGACTAAACTGACCAAAATGAAACTTCCACTGAAGTTCAAATTAAAAGAGGAGTACAAGAGCATTTATTCTAATTAAAAGATCAAGAAAAGACGGCACTTATAACCGATCTAATGCATTATCATGCTTAGTGTACAAATGGGAGGGGGGGGGGAGAAAAAACTATCTCTTGTAACAATTACTGACCAACGACCATTATCACCTTTTTTTTCAACCTGAAAATCAAGGTACTCTCAGGGGTTACTTACTCTCACAGGAAAAAAAAAAACAGTGCCCCCTTCTCAAGTATAAAAAGGCAACACTGATTTTCGCAGCAATGCCCCTAATATACAATGTACACAATCCGATACATCAATCTTCCCCAGCCAGGGTGCCCACTCCCACTAACAATCCAGTCACAGGGAGTATGTATAGCAGTGGCTCAGAGTTTATCCGGAGCGAACAAGGCCAATTACGGGTCCGTGATCGCTCTCCCGTCCCACCACTTTCCCCATCCCCCACACACATTACGCTTTCGATCAAACCTTATTACGCATACCGGATATTTGCATTGCATGCGCACTTTAGGGTAACCGACGAGGAGAGGGGGAAGAGGAGGGAGAAAGGTAATACAACACAAAAGCGAAGCCAGTTTGGCAAAATTAATGTGGCAAATTAATAAATGGCAGTGCAGCATCCTACCTGATTAAAACAATTTGGCGTTTTATTTGCGCTCGCCTGCGAGGCACGCCAAAATGTATCAGCCTTGACGGGGCTTGCCCAATTTAGTGTGATTTAGGATGGATGCAAATTCATTAGGGAGCTTAATATTGTGCCGGCAATTCCGCTGCAGAGAGGCAAGGAGAAAGCGAAGACGACGCTTTTGGAAGGTGGTTGTAGCTGAATGTCAAAGGTCGCCCGGCTCTGTATTCCAAGAGATGCTTCGGCCCTAATGAAATAAAAGGTGTTCGTTTCATGATTGATTCTATTACTCACGAGCAGGATTGAATTGATCAAAGTGAAATGGGGCGTTAGACGAGGAAATTGAGCTTTGTTTTGCGCCCGTCACAATGGTTTAGTTTCAATGTGGGCACAAGATTGAGCGTCTTTTCAGGGGCTTCGGCCTATTTTCCCTAGCCACGGACAACTCATTTTACTCACCAATATGGTGGAACACAACTCCTTGTTCAGCACAGCTATAATGGACAATGAATTCAGGTTAGGAAGAAAGCAAACAGGTCAATTGCTAAATTGAAAAACGACCTGGCTGAAATGTTAATCCCAAATAAGACAAGCTCTTGCAGCCAAAATGGCGGAATACGCTATCTGGGCTTCACTTTCCTCATTTAGAGGTTTTGATTGCATTACAAAATCAATTTGGCATCTATTTATAAAGACTATTTAAAATATACTGCACGTATATCCCTTGGGTTTGGGAGAATCTGCTGTATCATTATACTCATGTACCATTTCTAGATGCATATCTAGAGATACCATATCTCACATTGTATTATGTATGCCTTTGTCGTTCCTTTAAACATGCAACGCCCCACCTACCAGCAATGGAACATCCAAGAAGCGTAGAATAGGGATGATTTCATAACAAGAAACCCGACACCCAATTTACCTCACAACAGCACCCATAGATCATAATCAAAACTGTACTTTTGCCTCCTCTCGGTCAGGTGAAAATGAAATCACCAAAGGGTCTCAGTTTCCCTTTACAAATTCCAAGCAACATGCCTTTATTAAAGCATGATGAATTAGGACATGTGATACAATACGTTTGTCATCCAACAAATTCTGATACAAATCTTACGACCAAAAAAAGAGAGAAAGAAAACAAAAACATCCCTCACTGTGGTAGTATTGAATATTTGGTCTGTCTCGTTCACTGCATTCATAATTTTCCCTCATGAATTGCCACAGGGGCTGAAGAATATTTTCATATATCTGTTTATGGTAGTGTAGGGCTGGAAAAGCGCAACCCAGACATTGTGTTATTTGTCGGAAGGAAAAGAGTAATAATCATTTTTGATGTCTTTCTCTTCCAAGTCGCTGGGAGTAGTCACTGCACTGCAGAGCATAATACGCAGATAATTCCAGCTGATTGGTTTTGAAATTTAATTTAGAATCACTTACGGGTGTAGAGGAGCAGACCTTAGGGAGGTCAGAACAGAGAGAAAGAAGAGAAGAAGAAGCTAAGAATACGAGAAAGAGAGAAAGAGAGAAAGAGAGAGAGAGAGAGAGAGAGAGAGAGAGAGAGCGGGAGTGAGGGAGAGAGTGAGAGAAAGGAAACAACAGACAGGAGAGGAGGAAGCAGTAGTAAATGGGACAAAAACAGGACAGACAAAGAAAGAGATGCAGAAAACAGAAAGTTGATCTACAGAATCAGGAAGACAGAGAGAGAAATAACAAAGATATAAAATAAAAACATATAGGAGAGTGAGGTAGAGAGACAGCTACAGACAGAGAGGAAGAAGAAACAATTAGGAGAACAAAGGGTAAAATTCAAAATTCAGAGAAGGAATAAAATGAGAGAAAGAAGAAGTGAAAGGAGACAGAGAGAGAGAGAGAGAGATAAAGAGAGAGAGAGAGAGAGAGAGAGAGAGGGGGAGAGAGAGAGAGAGAGAGAGAGAGAGGAGAGAGAAAGAGAGGGGGATATAAATGGCAAATAAGAAAGAATTCAATTTTCTATTCAATTTAGGGCAGAATTGTGTTGGCATTTTTCCCTTCAATTTCAAGTATTCAGCAAGGTTTCCTTATACCTGTACGCCGAGTTTCACTTGCCAGAATAACAATCATGGATTTCACTTCCAATCAGATCAGATTAGGGATTCTACTCAGACTTAAACCAAAAGATGAAGAGAGTCTTTCTTTGGGTAATACACCTATACTGATGACATTATAATAAAGACAAGAAAATAATCATGTATATCATAGAGAGGAATTATTCTGATTTATTCTTATTTATCTTTTCTTCATAGTTATCAGTGGGCGTCTATAAAGTATAAGATAGAAATAGAAAAGGTATGAGGATAATCCTATCTTTCCGATTCAAATAAAGTTCTTTCTCTAATTCTACTTTCTTTCTCCCAACCGTCTACATTTTTTAATGAATGGCTTTCCACAGATGGAAATTGAGGATAAATTTATTTTATACAATGTCTGTTTGAAAAGGCTTAAAACATCAAGCACAAGAGCCAGAAATATTTGTGATATTTTTTTTTTTTATTTACAT